ACCAGCAGCAGGACTGCCAGAAATGAGGGGAGACATTGTAATTTAACTGGCATTGGTTTTCAGTGGGCACCAGGTGCTTTTAGACTGTGTAGCTACCAAATGTGAAATTAATATGTAATTTCCACCAAGTCCAGGGCGGCCAAGATCTACAATACTTTATTGAGTATGCACAAGATGCTGTGATGGGAAAAAATTGGAAGAGAACAGAAGAACTATTACAAACCCCCACCAACCAAACCCCTATTGCGAGTGATCATGCACCATGTCCAAGTGGCTGAGCCAAGGGTTTTTATTGGCAAAGACACAAGATATTGCAGTGGGAGAAATCAGTCTGAAAGTGAACAAATCTCCTCCACCAGCTCTCCACCACCCGCACCCTTGTTGAGAAATGGGTACATGCACAGTATCCCCTACTTAGGGCCCAACAGCCATTGGCTCGCACTGGAAGCACATGAACCGCTCTGGTGGATCGAGTCCAAGGACCAGAAGCACGTTGCACCACCATGTCCAGGTGGCCGAGCGGTCTAAGGCGCTAGCTTCAGGTGCTAGTCTTCTGTTGAAGGCGAGGGTTCGAATCCCTTCCTGGACATTTTTTACATCCACTTGCCAATATTTTTGTTGGTTTGTCCTCGGCATAGGACATTATTCTTGTTGCCCCTTTGATCTTCCCTTTTCTTTGCATTTCTTTGGTTAGCATTCCCCTGAGCAACCCTTTTTACCTTTGTTCGCCTTCAACATGATTGACCAGTGATTCTTGCTGCCAATTTTTGCATAGCAGTGTTCATTCTGCTTGCCCTGGCTGCAGCATCTTGAATTTTATTTGGTCGCTTTGCTCATTCAAACGATTGCTGGCTCCTGACAGTCGTTATGGAATCTCACCAAGGAATGTTGTCATAAAAAAAAATTCATTTACTTGATGTGCACCAACCAGCATCACCTCAGATCAACAAAAATAAACTCCCAGCACTGCCACCTCATGCCCCACTATCTTCAGTGCGTCAGGTTCTCTGGGCATTGGCAATGTCCTTGGCATTCCATTGCATGTGAGAGCTGTTGTCCATCTTCTGAGCGGTCAACCATTGCAATGGTCACACCCCAAATATGCCTGTCCTACTGAAAACTTGCAGCGGCGGCTTAGGTTCAAGAGCATCTGCATGACTGGGCTGAGCAGGAGGTGTAAGATTAAGAGCAAGTGAAAGAACCTGGAGAGTTTGGAGTTCAAGTTGAAATAAAACCCATTGGTGACATAGTACACGATCCAGGAGAGCGCTTTTGTGTGAGTGCTCAGCTAGAGCCACTTCACAGGCCACAGCGCCACCGATGAAAGCCTTGACCTCGTCAAAAAATGGCCAAGCACCTGTGTGCAGTGACTTGGGACAAAGAAACAACCACACGAGTAAATTTGAAAAATAAGGAAAACTGTACACTGCGCTTTGGCATGGACGTGCTTGATCTTGAGTGCGGCCATTGATAGTGTGGGGTCGCAACACCTGCAGTGGACATGATGCACATGAGGTTGCTGTTGACTGGAAACAAATAATTGCATTCAAGCCCAAATAAAAAAAAGCGCACATGAAGGAGTGCCAGCTGGCCCATATTGCCCTTGAGCAGTGTAAGCACCTGGAGCACTGATAGCGCTTGAAATCACGCCAATATTGACCAAGGCAAATGAAAACAGGTGCAGTCAAGGAAAAATGAGGCGGATAAAACCTACAGAGATGTCAGAGCAGTGACGCACACTCGCAGTGGCGATCCCAGCACTAGCCGACATAAAGTCACACCAGCATGTCCAGCAGGTGGCAGGCTGGTTCAAAAGTGAAGCATCAGCATCTTGACATGGGTAACATCATCACCAACAAGGCTCGGCAGGCAGGCCAGTATGTTCAGGATCACCAAGTGGGTCGTCGCTATCAGCAGCAGTCGTCATCTGGGCCAACAGTCAGCACATTGCTGAAACTGACTGGAAAGGGGGCAATGGGCGCGCCAGTGACTGTGTGCATGTAAATAGGCGGATCGGCCTGGGCCAGGTGCACTCAATAGCAGCTGTGGGACTGGCTCAGTGGCGTGGGTATGTAGTTGGCCTGAATTGCAGGGACGTCGGCAGTGTGTGGGAGATGCGACAAGCAAGGCGCACCCTGCATCAACCAAAAAAAAAGTGCACCTGCTGTGTCCAAGGTCAGCTTTGCAGTCGCTTGCCAAAAGCATGGTGATTTGGGCGTACATTTGAACCCAGAACGATGCATTGGCACTCGATCGAGGTGGTGTCCTCAAAGGCGCTGGCGATGCCAACCACGAAACCGTAAAAAAAAATGGGGAGCTTGGGCAAACGACACAGTGTATTCTGGACACAAAATAGCATGGTCAGTCACTGAAAAGGAGTCTCTGCAAAAATACGAAGTGCACCAAAATATTCCTGGAAATCAATGGCTGCCAGCACGCCAGGTACTGATGCATGCTGCCCGTCATGCACAGGGCGAGGAAGGCACTGCCAATCAGGTCAACAATCATTCTGGTGGGCAAGGGAATGCAGCTGACCAAGGAGAGAGCCAAATCAGTGCCACCAAAATGTAACATCACTTTTACAGCAACCATGACCGGATCTGAACCAAGGAGATCCTGGTCTGTCATGGCGCACACAGGGTGGCTGCTTCTATTGGACTGGAGTACGTGGTGACTATGTTGTTGATCGTTTGTGAGTGGATTGGCTCAAGCTCGTGCTTGGATCGAATCGCACCTGCTTGCTCATTTGCAGCCAGGGTAGAATTTATTGGTATGAGTTCAATAGCAAATGATTGTGGACTGGCTGTGTCCCTTGCCAATGCCGATTTTTGGTGCTCTGTCAGGCGCTTGTGCTGCAAGACTGCAAGCTGGACAGTGGATGCAACTTACTGGCTGTACTGAGCAAGTGGAAAAAGCGTGAGTGCATCGATTGTGCAGGTACTGGCATGGAAAAAAAAATGGAAATCTAGGATGGACACGTTGTTGCGAGCAAGGGCGGGCAGATGCTGGGGCTGTGACGCAGGCCCTGATTTGAGGAATATATCAGTTCTTGTGCTTGGCTGGCATGATTTATCGCGATAAGAAAGAGATGCAATGGGAAAAGCACATTTATTTACACAGCAATGGGAAATACTTGACATCAAGCCAGCCTCCAAGCCAAACAAACAAAAATAAAAAAAAAGCAAAGCTTGAGCTGTGACATTGTGGCCAAAACCCACAGAATCTATAAGTTTCATGTGAGGGGTTAACTAGTTTCGTTCTAAAGACTGTCGAGAGCCAGCATTGATGCCACTGATGTTGTCAATCGGAGTCCATTGACACTGATATTAAATCCAGTTGCATCAATTGACATCAGTGATTTCACTTTTTTTAGCTGATAAATGAACGTTTCTATTGAGAAAAAAAAACAATGCACTCGACGAAAAACAATTCGAAGTGACAGGGACTGCCTTGTTTTCAGTGGAGAACTCAATTTGTTCATTGTAAAACGCGTCAATTGTAAATTTAGATAAATAAACGCGATTGACACTAACACTACGGGACCCCATAAATATATACAGTGATGGCAGTGTAGTTGTCAAATTTACGGGTTTGATGGTAGTGTAGCTGTCAATTTACGTAAATTGACATAAATTGACAATAACACTACCATTTATCTGTAAATTTAGGTAAATTGATATAAATTAATGGAAGTTGACGGCAATGCGCGTAAATTGGCGTAAATTGATGTAAATTGATGGTAGTGTGGTTGTCAGTTTCCATCAATTTACACTACACTGCTGTAAAATATGGAAAAACGATTTCATCATAAAATCTGTCAAATTGAAGACCTTATCGATTGACAAACAGCTCTTTCAATTTGCACCAATTCCTTGTAATTGACCAAATTGTTTATTCTGTCGATTGATATCAATTGATACAGATAATCAACTGCCAGGTTTTATGATGATCTGAGTGGGCTGGCTACAACATGCGTGCCTTGACTGCTTTGATTCCAAGCTGGTGGTTGATGGTGTTGTTCATGTGATTTTGGTTTTGCCTTCTGGGAATTGCCCTGCATTACTTATGACAGCTGACCATGATGCATTTCCTCGTCCCATTTCAGAAGCATCTGCCCAAGGTGCTCCCTTGCCAGTACTGTATCTCCAATTCCTTTGTTGGTGATGATCTGGCTCACTCCTTGGATGGATTCAAGTTACAACGTCTTTTGTTTATGCTGCTCACTGCCATCATCACCCTACTAATAATTTGGAGCTTAACCCGGTTGAAGAAGCTACAGGCAGTGCTCTGCAAGGGCACTTAGGTGTTATTGTTTCCTTTTGTTTTATATGAGCTTTGTGTTGTTGACTCAGATGTATTTGCAATGCAGTCTGCCCAATTTTGTCTTTGCAGACAGATTTGCGATTGGTTTTGTCATCGCCTACAAGGACATGACCTCAGCTCCTCCCAAGTCATGACATGCAATGGACTTGTCATTATCAATGAGATCGGCTGTTGTAGGACATGCTGTTGCACTTGACATGGTCCTGGGCGAATTTCTCACAATGCACTTGCCTGCCTGGCTCATACATCACCAGTTGAAGTGCTGTTACAAGCACTGTCCCAATTTTTCAATCTTTAGAGTGGGATCACAGATTTTTATTGACAAAAGCTCCAGGCAAACTTTAAGCTGTTGTGTATTCATGGTGATATATAGGTGATATCACCAAGTATTGCATGGTAGGAGGAGATGCTGGTGAGTGAAGGTTTTTCATCAGAGTAAATTGATTTTTCTTTGACTTGTATTTAGTCACGTCTTGAAAACTGACTGCAGCCAGCAATTGTTTGAGAAAGCAAAGCAAATGAAAAAAGATCCAAATTATTATTTTGATTTTTGACAGAGGGTCCCATCTGCTGATCAGAATATCAGATCGAACCAGTTCTAATTCTGCGACGTCATCTTTCCTCACCTTTTTTCTTCCGTTTGCATTTGTGCATGACACCTAATAGGAAAAAGAATTAGGGGCCGCCCGGGATTGATCCGGGGACCTGCCGATCTGCAGTCGGCCGCTCTACCGCTGAGCTACAACCCCACGAAAAATTCTGCTTAGCAACTCTTACACTGGACACGACCCCTGCTCAACTTGTATGCCCACCAATGCGCCCCCACCTGGCGGTGACGGCTCCAGCACGTCCAGACCGCCGCTGCCCATGGTGACCCGCGCACTGATAAAGATAATTCGCCCAAAATTATACTTGATTGGCATTAAGGCCATCCACACCAACAATGACAGCAAAGTGCCCAAGCACTGCATCAAGTCACAGATCCTGCTTGCACTCGCCAAGCTGTCCATCCCCACTGGTCACGTTGACACCAAGACATGCAACCATGTCACCCACTATGTTTTTACTGTCTCTGATATGGAAATGCAGCCTGCCTCACAGGAAAATTTCTGGACCTCATGCCACTCGGCAAGAATGGTCTTGAGCTCATTGCCAACACCAAGAAGATGCTGATGCGTGACCTGACCACCAACCTGGATGACAGCTCCCTCTTTGAGGTTCTGGTCATGGACCTGCTCAAGTGGGTCACCCCCTACATCCTGGGACCAATGCTGGCTGCCCAGCATGGCTGCAAGATTGTGCATGTGAGCACAACCGAGTTCTGTGGTGTGCTGGCTACCCATATCATGTTTTCTGACAAGGTGGCACATAACACTTTTTGCTGTGTGGCACATTCACGTGTGGCCAGTACATTCTGTGTGTGTTCCGCGACTTTTTGGCTGCCTTTGAGTGCCACCACATCAAGGCTGACCATACCCTGTATGTGCACAGCCTGCCCATGCCCACCAAGCCACTGTGCCTACTTGAGGCAGCTTGCTGCAACCTTGTGACTGGCCCCAGCACCATTGCTGTGGCCAAGGTCAACCAAGCCTGCAACAAGAGTGGGATGTTGCATTTGGATGGATACATTTTGTTTGCCACAGTTGCCAACCACAACAGCACACTGGCATGCCTCGAGATGCTGCAGGGTGGTGTCTGGCAGACTGTGAGCCCATTCATGCAGCTCACCTCCACTACAAGGCACATGCATGTTTTGCATGTTACTTGTTTGGCCACATTGTGGCATGTTGCCCCAACCTGAGGCACTACACGCCTGTTCCATCACCACACCACATCCCCCAGACTGTGCTGCCCACGTACAACACGACTGACAACCCTCCTGGTCCTGGCCACATTGTCCCAGGTGCCACGGCTCGTCCCTCTGATGCTGATGCTCCTGTTTCATTGGTTCTGGTTCTGGTTCTAGTCCTGCTTGGGCAGCGGCTGCTGGTCCAAAGCGTATTGCTCCTGTTGCCCCTGCCACCACCCTCAAGGGTGGCAGCAATGCGAGGTTCAGGGCCGCCATGGCAGATATGGTCAAGACACTGCTTGGCCACATGCGCAATGCTGTTGTTGCTGGTGATCTGGCTGCTGTCCAGCAGATGATGCTCTCGTTTGTGTCCATGGCCAAGTCAACTGGTCTGGACAAGCCATTGTATGCTGGCCTCATGCTCCCCTCTGCCCCTGTTGCTGCTGTGGCACCCAAGGTTGTTCTGTTGGCTGCCAGCCAAAGCATGTGGCCAAGTCCAATTCCAAGGGCAAGGACAAGCACCCAGCACATCGCACCACCCCAACCCAGACCAATTGCGAGGCGATTGCCAAACAGCATGCCATCACTGCTACTGCTTCCATGGCCACTCTTCTCCCTGGTGAGACAGCTGCCCAGGCGCTTGCACACATCATGGCCTGGTTCACTGCCAGGCAGTCAGCTTGGACCACGCCTGCATTGCCTGCCATGCTTGTGTCATTGCCTGCCCCTTTGTCTGTGTTTTCTGCTGCTGCTGGCCTCTTGGCACCCACCACCCCCACCACCCCAACCAACCTGACTACCAGCACTGCTGCTGGTAGTGTATCACTCATCCGCAACACTAACATGGAAGTGGACACAGTCTCCATTGTGCCTTTTGACTAAACACCAAGTGTGTGCCTTTGGTTTGCTCAGCAAACGCATGATCTCACATGCAGCACTGCTCTTGGTGCTGCCCAAGCATACCAGTGTCATGTTCTTTTTCGCAAGGGAGGGCACTGTTGAGCAATGGGTGAGTGCGCTGAGAAGGCAGTCGCATTGAAGAATATCCAGGAATCAATTATCCATTTTTCCGATCTAAAAAGAGAGGATGGGAAACCTATAAACACTTGCGCCATGTCCAGCATGGCGCTTCCCAATCAATGGTTCCCAAAACCAACAAGGAGCTCTCCATGGGTGGTAGAATGTGCTCCCACCCTCCCATTTCATTCCATTTTTTGTACCCTGCACATTCTCCAAGTCTTAATCTTCTGCAAAGAGGTGAAAGATGAAGAGAAATAATAGCAGCTGGATGTGCTGATTGATATCCACGCTGGGCAGCTAATCTGTTGTTTGTTTCATTTTTATTTTTATTTTTCCCCCAACATTTTTTTCCACACTGTGCTTTTCTTATTGAGGTTTTGTTTATATTTTTATTCCATGGGTTGTAAATCCTGGTTTATTATTCCCTGTGAGGGTTCTCTTCCCCAGGTTGCCACAATTAGTAGTCAATATAAGATATAGCACATTCTGCCACCTCATGGAGTGCTCTTGCTTGAACAAATGCCCTTACAGTTGCAGTTTGGAAATTTTCTTTGTAAATTTTCTTCTGCTCCTGCAAGGACCAATTCGTCTCACCTACAATAGCACCAAGTACATTTTACCACGTAGTCATGACAATTTGGATATTTTTCAAGTTTCTTCTTGCTAGCATTAACAGTTGCATGCTGTTTTCTAGCTGCTTCAAAAGAGATAACAGCTGAGTAAAAAACACTTGACAGTAGCTTTCTTTCACTATGCAAGTGATTGTGTTGGCAGCCTTTGACTTCACCAGCTCAGACCTGCAATGTGAGTTGCATGCAACAACATCCTGCAACCTCAACCAACATTTTGACCTGAAGTTGACCTATGCACATGATACTAGCAGTGCTGACTTAGCAAGCATTGTCTGCACCAGGAACATTGCTTGCCCATGACAGTGCATCATATCCATCTCAAGGAAATGAAACAAGTGCATTCAAGAGAAAATGTGCCAAGCTGGGCAAAAATAACATTGCAGTGGTGCGCAATTCCACTGGCTGATTCGAAAGTTATACTGCCTTGTTCAAAAGGAGGTGGACAATTCAGTTGAACAGGAGTGGCCCTGTCAACTGGCACAACAAACTCACTGTTGTGCTCAGGAAAGCTGCATTGTGGCATCTCTGAATGCTCTGGCAAAGCCAGTCATGAATTGTATACAATGGCAACCTTGGCAAGTAGTGCGAAAAAAAAGTGTCCTAGTGCAAAATACCATTCATTTCTGCAATACAAAACGAAAAAAAAATGCAGGAAATCACGCCTGCGTGCCCTTGGAAATCTCTGCCAGCTTTTCATCGAAATCGTACTGGTTCATGTGCAAGGCAATGATGGCAGAGTGAGTGGCATAAAGACATCACCAGCAGGGGAGTGCATGAGGCCATTCAAGGAGTTAGCAATGGCAGTCAGCTCAGAGCCAAAGCATTCCTTACCAGTCATGGTGCACACAACACAGCCAGTCACTCAAAATTGGTGGGCCATGGGGACTCAGCTGCTGATTTTATTATTATTTATTATTTATTATTTTTTGTTGCAATATTCGATTGGCACAAGCTGAAGGGAACCTTCAGTGAGCCTGCAAGACCTCATTTACAACCGAATTGGATTTGTTGGCTCAAACATGTTGCATGTATTGATTGGGTAGCAATGAGGTGCCACTGCTTTGGGTGTCTTGCCCTGAAAGAAGGAGACACTTGCTTCCAGATAAAGGCTGTTACTGCAAATCAGGGAGCTGGGAAGCAGACACAGTTTCATCAACAGTACAGAATGTGAGAAAATGAGTGAGAAGCACTAAAAAATAACTGAAATAATTCGAGGATGCAACATGGTGCTGATAATACTTGTAACAGAAGAGGCAGCAGCATGTGCATATGCTGCTGGGACATCTGAGCAAAGCTGCGGATTATTGTTGGGGGCATGGTGGCCACAAGTATGACACTTCATTCCAAGAAAAGCAAATGCAGGGGAGGGCTGGCAGCAATGCCAGAGCTCATGTTGGATCTGGACTGCTAGAAATGAAATAAAAATAACTGGCAATGAACAACAAATACACTAACCCTGCCTCTGCCCAATGAACCCATGCCATTACAGCCAAGCAGGGGCTGGCCACTCAGCAAAACCACCAGAAGCACAAACCTAAAAACAGCCCCATTGGACCAGATAAAAGAACAGATGTGTAAGCATGTAATATGAGTTGACTGTAAATCTAAAGAACAAGTCACTTTCGTATAGTGGTTAGTACGCCACGTTGTGGCCGTGGCAGCCCCAGTTCGATTCTGGGAAGTGACAGTTCTGTTTAACATTTTCGTCAGATCACTCCCGTATTTTTGTCATGACGTCGCCCAGATGACAGAAAAACCAGCGTCATAGCTCAAATGCAGGTGTCAACACTGATTGTCCCTTGTTTACATAGCATTTTTCCTCCCTGGACAGAAATTTCCAATGTCACTGTCATACTTGCTGTATGCAGGCAAGCTCATGCCTGTTATGTGTTCCTGGTTAAACGAGAGCAACACGCTGTGAGAATAGTTCAGTGGGAGTGGAGGAATATTAATGACATGAATACCTATTTTGAGGTCAGCAGCCAAAAACCTTTTTTTTTCTCAATGATGGAAAGGTGTAGAAAATTTTAGGCGGCAGTAGTTGTTGTGGTGCTAGTAGTATAAGTCGGGGATGGGGAGGACAAGATGAGTGTTGTACTGGGAGAACGATCTCCTGGACCTGACCTCTCTTCCCTCCAAGCAAGCAGGTTTTAATCCTTTGAA